AGATAATATATGTAAAGCACTATGCAAACCTTAAATGTGCCAGGATAAATGTGAGTTAGGTGCAAAAAATGATGTGAGATCTGAAAATTGTTACTGATCAGGGAAAACTTAATGGATTAGGTGACAAATGAATTGAGAACTAAAGGACTAGTAAGGATTCAACAGAAAAGGAGGATAACGAAGACAACCTGTGTTTGAGTAATACAGTTTGGTTTAAGCACAGTATGTACAGAGGGAAATAAAAAGAAAGAAGACTGAAAAGGTATGAAGCCCCAAACTACAAAAGACCTAGAAGTCCTGGCAAAGAAATCTGAACTTTACTTGGTAGGTAATAAAGAACTATTAAAGTTTTTTGAGAAGAGCAACATAATCTATACAAAAGAAAGCATATTCTGGCAGTAATATGAAGGATGGATTTGAGAAGGTAGGCGGCCCCTAAAGAACTAGTGAATAGAAATGAGGACCTGTACTAGGGTGGTATCAAGATGTTGCAGAGAAATGGGCAGAACTTGGTACCTAGTTGGATATGAGAGATGAGGAAAAGACTGACAGATAATTGCAAAGTTTCAAATACAGGAGGCACAGTGAATGGTGGTGAATCAGACAAAAATAGGGGAGGCAAGAGGAAAGCCCAAAGAAAAGAAATAAGCTTGGTTTTGAACATGTTAGATTGAAGTACCAAGAGGACATCTAAGTGAAGTTTTCTTGGACAAAGCGGTTGGACATACAGGTCTAGAGGTCAGAACAGAGGTCACAATTGGAGATAATTTGGGAGTTAACTGTATAGAGGCAGTAGATGAAATAGTGAGAGTGAATGTTCCTTTGTCAATGGAAAATGTAAAGAGAAGAAAAAAGGGCTGAACACAGATGGTTAGGGAACATTCATTAAAAGATAGAAACCAAGCTGAGGACTTGGTGAAGGGCACAGAAAACGGTTTGAAAAGTAAGAAAACCTCTGGAGCATGGGGTCTCTGAAGCCAACAGAAAAGAGTATTTAATAGAAGAGGGTGGTCAACAGTGTCAAAAGACACAAACAAGTCAAGGGGGTTGGAAACCATTAGATTTGATGATTATAATGGTGATCCTCAAGAGCAAAGTTTCAGCAGATAAATGAGAACTAAAATCCCATCTTAAAGAAGAGAATGGGTGATGAGGATGTATAGGAATCTGGTATTGACAATTTTTCAATATGTTTAGCAGCATAAGGGGAAAAGACAGGATGGTAGCTACATAAAAGTGAATGTGTCAAAACGAACATATTTGAGAACTGATGAGGTACCAGTGGAGGAGAGACTGAAGAGATGAGTGACTCAGTGGAGCTGACTTAATTCTTAAGCAAGGTCTTCAAAGAAGGAAAAGAGATCAGGTTAAGGATCAGCCCTATTAAAAAGTCTGAATATCTTACTTCAGTGACTGGAGGGGCAGAGATAGATCATGAGGAATTTGAAAGGCAAGAAAGGAGTTCACTAAAAGTGAAAGGATAGAAGGGTAAGAAAAGAAAAGCTCAGAACCAGTGACTCTGGGAAAGGGGAGTTAATAAAATTTCAGAGAGCATTACTCCAATCCTCTAATTTTACAGATTGGGAAACTGAGACCTAGATGAAACATTAAAGTTAATTCTTTTAAATCACATAGGTAATGGCACAGCCTGAACCACCTATAGTCCAAAGCCTTTGCAACACCATTATGCTGCTTCACACAACTGGTAAGGTTTCCTAATGCACAGGTTTAATAACCAAGTCATTCATCCACTCAAAACCCTTCTCCATATTTGCTACACTAATAACTCCTCTCTCTGGCTTTTAAAGACCTTCACAACCTGGTCCCCATCTATCCAACCTTGTTACACATTACTCCTGTTCCTAGTCTATAGTGCACCCAAACTGGATTTCTTTCTGTTCTTCATACATCGCACCTCCACTTGCCATCTGTGCCTTTGTACTGGCCATTCCCCATGCCTGGAATAAAAGCCTCACTTCCTCCAAGAAGCAGCTCAGTCAAGACCTTCTACCCAACCTTTCCTCATACGCCCCAACTGCTGCCCTCCTTCCCTACCTTCTCTCTTTTTATTTCTTCTGTATATCCTTATGACAAGGTGTCCCAAAAGTCTGTGTGCAGTTTTAAGCCTTTAAAGATGGATTTCAAGCTCTCTGAGGACAGGGCCCTTTTTATTCCCAGGACCTTGCACAGTGCTGTGCACAACTAGAGCACACGTTTAAATCACATTAAGTTCGGTGGACTCGTGGTGGGCTACCTACACTGTCATTATTCCCGACTCCAAACTCTGGGGTTCCACATCGCTAGCCCTACACCTTGCTTCCTCACCCCGCACAATGATGACCTCCCCGTGTGACCCCTACTCGGATGCGGGCGGGGGTCCTCCCCTGGGTCATTGCCCCCCACAATGCCACAGCTCTTTTGTACATACAACACACGGCCAGGCCCCAAGCATCTCGAGGCTTCATTTCTTCTCCCCACCTTAAAGGATTCCGAAACCTCTGGGAGGGAGAAGCCTGCTCCTTTGTAGCACCCGCTGTCAAAGTCCCCGGCCGGGGCTCTGCCTCAGTGGTCCTCCCGCGTCCTTCCTGCCCTCGCCACCCCTCCCCCAGCACATTCGCGTACACACACCCGGCCCGGTAACCCCGAAACACAATGAGGTGGGCCTGCCTTGAACGCCCGCCCGGGCCGGGGCTTGGACACCTGCCTTCCCCGGCCCCGCTGGGGGTCTGGGAGGCGGAGCTCGGGCTCGGGCACCGCGGGGAGGCCCCCCTCCCTGCCGCAGGCCTGGCCCCGGCCGCCCCCCCAGCCCCGGCCCCCCGCAGGCCGGGGCCAGCTCCCCAACATGGCGGCGGCGGCGGAGACACGAGCGAGCTCGGCGGCGGGCGGCGGCTCCCGGCCCTGCCGGGCCTGTCATCCGCCCCGCGCGGCGGCGCCATTTTCCCGGGGCAAGGGACAAGGCTGGTCCCATTCGCGTCCCGTCCCGTCCCACCCCACCCCCCCGGACCCGGCCCGAGCTCCAGCCTCTGCCTCACCTGCGGCCCTGCCAGGGGCCTCCGACGGCGGCCCACTCTGGCGCGTGGCCTGCGAGCGCCGCTCTGTCCGTCCCCGCGGCCCGGAGAGCCGGACAGCGGGACACCGGGACTCCCGGACCCGGCAGCGGCCTCAGACCCGGCGGGGAGGGGGAGGGGAGGGGACCGGGGCCCGGGAGGGGGAGGGGAGGGGGAGAGGGAGGGGGAGGAGCGGGGCGGGGCCGGGCAGGCGGGGGCCTGGCGCACGTGACCGGAGCGAACGTCCCCGGGAGCTCGGGGCGGCCGCACGCACGCGCGCCCAGGCCCGCCCCACCCCACCCCGCCCTGGTCCCTCCTGGATGGATCCCGGATTTTTTCCTCCCCGATACTCAGCAGTTTTTCTCTCCTGTACCCCAAGTTACTCCTTGGTACCCTTGAACACTTGGTCTCTTTTCTCCAGGCAGGATTCCGCAGTCCCCGACTCCCCGTAGTCCAGAGCCCACAGTACCCTCCCTTTCTTCGCGATCTCCAGCCTGAGTGGACAGTGTCCCCTCTGGTTTGCCCCCTCAAGGAAATGATAGCCAGGAATTGGTCTTGGTCTGCCTGGCTGGTTGGTTCTTCAGAACCTAGGCCCTATGCTCTTGGCCCATAGTCTGCTCTTCAGCTATGCTGAGGAGGCAGTGACGGAACCAGTCCAAAATCTTCTCACTCCTATGGACTTGTACTTTCAGGGGTTTCTATCCTCAGCTACGGCACTTACATTCTGAATGACTGGCCCAGGTACCTTCACCTCTATGAGACTGGATGGTCTCAATCCCATTCCAGGTTTAAAATCCTATTCTATATCCTATATATCCTGTTAAATTTGGGGGACTAGTGGGGTATCTAGGTAGACTCATAAGATCATAGCACTTAAGGGTTGGAGTGACCCATTGAGAAGCTAGAGACTGAACTGAAATTAGGGAGAAAGGTGGGGGCTGGGAAGAGGAGTCATCTAAATGATCTCAGGCCGGTGGGAGACCAGCAAGAATGGCCTAAAAAATGACACATCCGAGGTCACTGTTGACACGCAAGAGCAGGGTTATGTATCTACTAGATTGGGAATCAGGAGGCTTTGATGTACAAGATGACACAAGTTGAAGGAACTCAGATTGTTTAACCAGGAGAAGAAAAGACTTAGGGGAAACATGATCAGTGTCTTCAGGTATTTGAAAAGCTGTCATATGGAAGAGGTTGTAGCTTTGTTCTTTTGGCTGCAGAGAACAGAAGTAGGAGCAATGGCAGGTAGAAGTTATAGGGAAGGAGATTTGGGAGTCAGTAAAAGGAAAAGCTTGCTAATGTGGAGAGCTCCACCTCTCAGGGTCCGTGAAGAAAAAGGAATTTTGTTCAGTTTCCAGTCAGACTAGATGACCTCTGGGGTTCCTTTCAACTCTTGGATTCTGTGCTTTGAGTACCATCTCTGTTAACTAAAGGCTGAGGACCTTGGGCATATACTCTCCCTTCTCTGGGCCTCAGTTTCCATCTCTGTACAGCTGGAGGGTCAGTAAAAGTTTCCAGCATTAGTATTCAACGAGGAAAAAAAGTGCCAGATGACATGCCCCACTCCACCCCACTTCCAAGACACAGAGACTAAGGAAATTTAAAGAGAGGTTGGGAAGATCCACTTTCTTTCCCTAGGGTCATTTCTTGATGAACTTCATGGGACTAGAATTGTTTATGGGTGAGTTAGGGATGACATTTTCCAGAGGTGGAGAGATGGTCTAAACAGCCTCCAAGGTTGCAGATAGCCTAAAGTGCTCATATTAGAAGCCTAAGTGAGGAGACTTCTCTTTCCCAAAAATTCAGCCATCTGTCCCAACTTTGACCTGGAGACCAGCTAACAGACCAAGCCAGAGATAAGATTTCTTAAGCAACTTTCTCTTTAATTCCTCTTGGGGAGGGGGAGCCCCCCCGCCGTTCCCCCCCCCCCCCCCCCCCCCCTTATGTGGCCCCTTCTCCCTGCACCTCTCCCTCAGATCCTCACTACTTCTGGGACAGAGAGAAGGAGAAAGAGGGCCCCTTGCTTCTGGATGGTCAGTTTAAAGAAAAAAAAAAGTCATTTAAGAAATGAGACTGAGGAGAGGGAAGGGGAAAGATGCTGAGGGCCGGTGGAAGGAAGGATAGTTAGGGCCACCTGGGTGGGTTTTTTGTTTTTTGTTTTCAAGCAAGCATTTCCCTAAGCCTCTCAGGAGTGGGAAGTATTGGAAGGAGGCAGAACCATTCTTCTGGTCTTCTTGCCCGAGGTGTGTCAGGCCACTCCCATCCACTGTGGAATTTGTCAGTTATTCTGGAATTGAGTTTTAAATCTCCTCTGGTCCCCAGGCCCTGGGCAGAGCTCGAAGGCACCAATTTGGAGCCTCTGGTCTTCAGACCCACTCTGTGCCTGTCCCCCCTCCCTCCCTTGCCCAGGGGAAGGCAGGGCTCCAAGGGGCTCTTGGAACATGCAAAGGGGTATTTTGTGCTGCAGCGCCTGCCCCTGCCCCACCCACCCAGCCCTACAAGATGGTGGCACCCGCTCCATCAGGGCTTCGAGGGTCCTTCACCCCAATGATGAAATTGTTGGTTCTCCGACCTCCATGGACCCAGGACAGAACGTCTACCTTCTCAACCCGATGGCCCCTAGCTTCCAAGAACTCAACCTCTTCCTCTGTGAATTCACCTGAAAGAAATCACATGCAACAAAATCAATTCAAACATTGATTAAGTATCTCTCCTGTATAGAACCCTCTTCTGGGTGGTTCAGTAAGCTCATATAAACCCACAAGTACTGGCCAAGAGGATTTATTTTTCAGGACTAGACAGTTGTTGACAAACTTTTTTTTTTTTTTGGACTAGGCAGTGGGGTTAAGTGACTTGCCCAGGGTCACACAGCTAGTGTTATGTATTTGAGGCTGGATTTGAACTCAGGACCTCCTGAATCCAGGGCTGGTGCTCTATCCACTTCACCACCTAGCTGCCCCTGTAGACAAACAATTTCAGCACCCCAAGGAAATCCCCATTACTTCCCCAATTTCTTTCCAGTCCCCCAAAACCCTTTAATAGAGACAAATCCCAGCATTCTCCAGAGATCAGATTGGTAGAGTAAATTCCTTTGGGAGAATTATAAATTGTCAGAGTAGGAAGGGATTGTAGAGATCATCTACTCTAATCCTCACATTTAACACCTGGAACAATCTCCAGACAGCTTAACTATGGGACTTGCCCAAGGCCACACAACTAGTTTGTTATGGAGTTATTAGTCACTAGCACTAGTCCAGTTTCCCCATTTTACAGATCAATGATCACTTATTGAGTTGTTTTGGGAATATTTCTTTGGCAGCTGTAAGATAGACTGGAAGAGAGATGGCTTGAGGCTGGGAACTAGAATGCTATAGAATTAGTCCAGGCCCAGGGGAAAATAAGGAGGATGGAATGAGGTCTTGAGAGGTGAAGGGATTGGCCTAAAGTCACATGACTACTGTCATAGATAAATTAGTATTAGGAGGGGAGTGTCTAATCCAATTTTCCTCATTTTAAAGGTAGGGAACCTAAGGCCCAGAAAGGGGGAAGTGGCTAAAAACAGCTTAATGATTATTAATTATTACTACTATCTTAAATCTCAAAGCACTTTCCAAGAACAGTCTTTGGGTAGGTGGGAGGCAACAGGGCACTGGGGATCAGAAGGGAGGTTGAGAGAGAAGGGGGCACCACTGAGGTGGGAAAAGGGCAGAGAAACAGGTAGCTCTTGGTGATTGAGACAAACTTTACCAACAGCAACTCTGCCATAAACTGGCTGCCTTCATCTGTCCAGCCATAGCTTAAAGCTCTTCAGAGAACCTGCCCTGGAGGACCTCCAGACCTCAACTGGATTATAGAGGTGAGTCCTCCGCCCCTTCCCAGCCCTTGAGGGCTCTAAACCCTGAGGAGACGGAAGAAATGCCTGTCTCAGTAAAAAAAGACCACCCATAAAGAACAGAGTGGAGGAGACTCTAAGCTTCTAACTAATATGTAGATGAACTTGACCTTTAATCTTTTGTGTCCTCAAACAACAGCAATTTAAAAGACATTTAAAAGTCTTGTCCAAACCCCATTTGGGTTTTTTTTGGCAAAGATACTGGAGTAGTTTGCCATTTCCTTGTCCAGCTCGTTTTACAGATGAGGAAACTGAGGCAAACGGTTAAAGTGACTTGTCAGGGTCACACAGCTAGTGCTGGACACCGGGTTTGAATTCAGGAAGATTAGTCTTCCTGGCTCCAGGTCTAACACCCTATCCACTGGGCCATCTGTTGCCCTCATATTGACTTTGAAATCCACATGTTAACGTTATCTATGCTGTATTGCATTTATTTATTTTGTCAAACATTTCCCAATGGCATTGTGATCTAATTCCGGTGCTCTTGGAAGTGTTGAGGGCTACATGTGGCCCACTGGTCCTCAGTCTGACACCTGTGTCTTAGATAACTCTAAGACAAATAATAGCAGAGAAGAAAATTTTCTCACCTGGGAGTTCCCTATACCAGTGAAATTACAGGTTCAGTCCCTACCTGTACCCATATTCTTGGCTACAAACTCTCTGGGGAGGGGAGAGGAAGGATATAATTGGAAATGAACACAAAACAAAAATAAAATATATCAATTCAAAAATTTTAAAGAGTGTTCAGAGAAATCATGCCCCTAAATAATAAATAATGATGTTGATAGCAACTCCAGTCTATAGCTTTCTTCCTCAGAAAGGCTCTGAGTAAATAATGAAAAGATTATTATCTCAGCAAAGTTCACTTAGCATCCAGGACAGGAGGAGAATGACTAAGTAATGAGTCAATTAATAAGCATTTATTAAGCACTTACAATGTGCCAGGCACAGTGTTAATGAGTAGAGATACAAACACAAGAGTCACATAATCCCTCCAATGTTCCCATAAATTCCCAGGTAGGGGGTGGTGGGTGGGTGTGTCTGTGCGTCTGTGGGTCGGTGTGTCTGTGCGTCTGTGGGTCTGTGGGTCGGTGTGTCTGTGTGTGTCACCTGACACATCAGAAGGAAAGAGAAAGCTAAAAGTCTCCTTCTCGGGAGGCACTTGGGGGTTGTACCTGCTGTTGGTGTGGCCCACCTAGGCTCCATAATCAGGAACCCCACCAGCCTGCCCTTCTCCCTGTACTCACTGTCCACCTGGAGGATGTTGGATTGGAGCTCAGGGTGGAGGCGCCCTAGGGACAGACTGTCACTGAGATTTCTGTTCATTGTCAGCACATTCACCAGGACCTGTAGGATGCCACAGAAGTAAGAGGTGCATACAGCCAGGAAGTATCCCCAAGGACCCCAGGCAAATCAACCCTTATAGCTGCAAAGCATCATATACTTTTAGGCACCAGGTGGTACGGTAACAGGGGTGTGCTGGAACCAGCTTGAACTGGCTCACAAATACCAATGGTTAAATTTTCAGTGTGAATGTTCACACCTTAGACATTGGCAAATGCTGTAAATCAGAGCTTGATTTATTGTTTTATTGATTGTCTAGCCTTAAGAAAGTAATGGAGAAAATGTTGTTAATGCAGATAAAATTTAAAAGTGTCATGGGCACAGTTTTTTCTTCCCAGAGAGCCTGTTGTTAAACCTCTGTTTGCCTCAGTTTCTCCATCTGTAAAATGTGGATAATAATATCACCTACCTCCCAGGATGGCTGTGAGTTTAAAATGAAATATTTGTATAGCACTTTGCCAACCTTAAAGCACTATATAAATGCTGTTATTAGTAATAGTTATCAAAACACTTCTTCACCCACTACCTCAGACACTAACAACAGCCCGTTGGAGTCAGGAAAGCCAGAGATTATTCTGATTTGACTAAAGGGAAAACTGAAACCCAAGGAAGGAAAGTAACTTGTCTACTAGCAACAGAAAGAGTTAGTGGCAGATCTGAACTAGAACCCTGGTCTGACTCCCTGTCCAACGTTCCTTTCATTATAGCATGCTGCTTTTTACGCTGTCTAATAATAATAGCTCACATTTCCATCACGTTTTAAGACATAACAAGACACTTTACACAGAATAGCCCTGCAAGGTAAACCAGGGCAAGTATTGATCTGCCTCTTTCATAGATGATGAAACTGAGGCTCAGAGAAGCTAAATAATTTGCACTTACATAGCCAGTGTCAGAACTACAGTTGGATTCTAGGTTTCTTGACTACCTCTTCATTGCTCTTTGTACTATACTATTTATTTTTTTGTACCATACTATTATTATTAGTGGTGATCATTAGTGGTGGTGGTGGTGGTAGTAGTAGTAGTAGTAGTAGTAATAGCTAACATTTATGTAGCATTTACTATGTGCCAGGCACTGTGCTAAGCACTTTACAAACATTATTTCATTTGATCCTCACAGTAACCCCAGAGGGAAGTGCTATTATTATTCCCATTTTACAGATGGGGAAAACAAAGGCTAACAGAGGTTAAGTGACTTGTCCAGGGTCACATAGCTAGTAAATGTCTGAGGCTGGATTTGAACTCAGGTCTTTCTGCCTCTAGGCCTGGCACTCTATCCACCACACTACCTAGCTGCCCTACTACATTGCCTTTCATGTTTCCTATGAAAACAGCAAGACAGCCTTAAAGTTCTTTAAAAAAAAAAAACTGTGAGTAGACCTGAGAAGGGGTGAGGGAGGAACTGTAGCCCCCTCCCCTCTCCCATTTCCCATGAATAACAAGGTCCCTGGGCCAAGGACTCTAAGGGCTCAGCTCCCATGCTTCTCTGTCAGAAGGGACAAAGGGAAGGGCTCACCTGGGTGAGGCTGCTAAGTCCTCGGGCAGCACCATTGGCCCCCAGTGCCAGGTAAGTCCCGCAAAGTCCTTCAGCTGGCCTCACCACCGTGGGCAGCAGGAAGGACAGTGGTCTTTTCCCAGGATGAATGGCATTCTCCTGTCATAGTAACATAGATCTCATGGATGAGGGGTTGGGAACCTGAACTGACTTCCTTTGTCCCCAGCTTCTTCCAGGCTCAAAGAAATCTGGAGCAGGGAGCTTCAAGCCCTGCTTTGCCAGTAACCTTATCTCCCTGGGCCTCAGTCTAGTGTCTTTGAAATGGGCAGTGTCCCCTCCCTAATAGGCTAGGGATAGAAGGATTAGAAAAGAAACTGGGGGGGGCAGTGTGGGGGAAGAGAGAGAACATAAGGGACAAAGGAACAGAAGGAAGCATCTCAAGAAACAGGGCCCTCTCTTCAGGAAGCCTTTCTTGACTATCCAACCCCTAGTGATGTCTCTCCTTCCCCAGATTTAATTCTTGTCTAGGATAAATCATGTTAGTTATGTTTACACACATATGAAGTGCTATGTCTCCCCAACTAGCGTAAGTTCCTTGATGAGCCCATAGCACCTGGGACAGGACTTGGCATACAGTTGGCTCATTCATTCAACAAATACAGGGACCAGAGCAACATACTTAAGGATATGGGGTGAGGAAGGGAGGAGATGGAAGGGAAGAAGAAAATGGATGTGGGGAAAGTGGGGGAAAGACTTGAGACTTAGGAACAAAATGTTTGACAGGGAGGTAGGGAGTGGGGGTTGGGGTGGTTTAGAGGATCATCCCAAAGTGCAAGGGAAAAAGAAGGGAGGGAGGGGCAGAGGAGGGCAGGGCAACTAGACCAGCCTAGGAAGTACCAGGCTGGGTGCTGAGTGGTTTGCAGTTTTATTGGGCCAGGAGAAGTCCAGCATCTG